AATCTGGCCTTCCTTGAGTTTCTACAGTGTCTAGAGGAGGTGTTTAACCTGACACACGACTGGCTGTAGTGGTGGCAAGGATGCTGGCTTCCTGAGGCCTTACTGTGAATCAGAGAGCTTGGTTTTTACCTTCCTCTTTTACAAGAAGAAGATAAGCTGAAATTGCTTGCTTTATGATCTATAAATTGATAAGTTAGTGTTGAATAATGTGTTTTTAGTTTGTTATACCTGGCAGTGATATTGTTTCTTGGTGTTTGAAGTGTTTTTGGGAAGAGAACTTGGTGAGTTTTTCTTTTTTGAAGAAAATTTCCTAATTAGGAAATGTGATGATGGACGGGAAAGAGTTTTTTTTATAAAAAAAAATAATTTATATTTATTTATATTTGATTATCTTAATAAAAAAAATTAAACCTAATTTTTTTAAAAAATAATTTATTAATAATTAATTAAATACTGATATTTTATTATAATAAAAATTAAATTTGTTTAAATTAGAATTTTAAATTAATATCAAAATAAGATTAATTATAATAAATTTAATATATAAATTGATAAACTTATAAATTTGATATCAACTTAATATTAAAATAATATTATTAAAAATTTTAATTTAAATTAATTTAAAATAATAATAATAATAAATTATTTAAGTTCTATAAATAATAAAAATAATTATATTGTATTATGTTAGTAATATATTTTGAGGATCAATAATAATAGTAACTGGAATATTGGAATTAATTTTTATACTAATATTCTACAATAAAGACAGTTAAGACTAAATTTAATAAGTTAAATAATTTAAATTAATAATAGAATTTTTATTTTTTATATAAGTTCTATTCAATATATAGATTATTTATTTAATATTTAAAATTATATATAGTTGAATATATTAAAATTGTATAATAAAATATATTAGCTAATAATAATTAAATAATATAATATTAACTTCTATTATTAGTAAAATAGGATATTTGATATAATAATAAATAACTTATATTAATAAAATATCTTGTATATAATATTTGTTTATAACTAAAAGTAAAAATAATAATAATAAAATAATAATAATAAATTATTTAATTAGTTTTTATATAAATTTTATTAAAAAAAATTTTTTTTTATAATTAATTATAATTATATTATTATTATATTATTAAATTTTTTTATAAACTTAAATACTTATTTTAAATAATTCTAAATATAATTTTGAGAATAAATAAGATTGTTTATTTTTAATTTCTTTACTATAGAAATAATTAAAAGTTGGTTAGCTATTATTTATTATTTATTATTTTTTTTTTATAAAGTTTCACATGTATCACCTGTATTTGCAATAGGTTATAGATTATTAATAAAACAATTATAAAACTTTATTTAATAAAGTAAAATTGCTTGATATTATTTAATATATGTTATTTTGAAAAAAATTTTCAATATATTATTAGATAGTTTATTATAAGTAAACTAATATTAAACTTATTGAAATAATATAAGAAATGTTATTTCTTTTCAATATACTATATGTCTTGTTATATGGATAATTATTTTCGAAGGCGGACCGGAAATTTTCTGGTGTGATCCTAAAATTTATATTATATATGTATTGTTTAAAAGTTGGGTCCGAAAAAATCATATCTAGCATTTTTGTCGCCTTCAAAAATAATTACCCATATATAATATAAATAAAGAAATAATGCTTTTCCACTCTAAATAAATAAATCAATAAATAAATAAATATTTTTTTATTTTAAAATTTTCTTTAATTTTAAGAAAAAAAAATAAATTTCAATAAAATGAATTTGTCTTTACTAAAACGGTAAAGTCGCGGATAAAGAGTTACACCATTTTCTTTGAACATAATGAATTGTATGACACATGTCCAACCCCAACCACATGCCGGCCTCTTTGAACCAAGAAAGTGTAACTAAACCTGCAGCTGGCGTGAATTGGGGAAATGGCTACGTAGTTCTATTATTGCTATCCGTTGCCAAGCTACATCCAGTCTCCTAATATGATTGAAAGAATTGACCTCCAGCACTATGGGATTCTCCCTTTTGTCACCCTGAATTTATATGCAATTGGTTAACTGCTATAGACATAGCGACAACCCGTGTAACATTAGTATCAGATCCGATCTATACACTTATAGTCAACACTTAATAAAAATAAACCTGGTTCATAAACTTTTTGAATACTCAAATGCATGATTATATATTCTTGTATACATATTTTTATTACCTGCTTGGGTACAAACTTTTCTATATCATTCTCAATTCGGAAAATATGCTATCTTTTTTTAAAAGAATCTTCTTTTTCGAAATAATTTCTTTTCACTTTTCCTGTACAAGTTTGCGAGTGAAAATACTTTTGAATTTAATCACCTTTTTTCAACTTTTATTCGTTTTTGTTATTGATTCTGACTTTGGATGAATTATATTTTATGACTTTCTTTTACACCTCGTTAATTTTCTCCAAAAGTATTACCCATTATCAATATTATTGTGTACTTTTTTTTTTTACGTTTCCTCGAAACATTGAAAAAGTAATTTCGACCTTTGAAAGGTTCTTATAATTTTTTTATATACATGTATACACGACAATAATTTCTCGAATTAAAATTATATAAATATTTGAAACCTATTTACCCCTTTAACCATTTTTTTTTTTGTATTTATTTTATTTTAATTATTACTACTTTATTGTACCATATCTCCTTTAAATTTAATAAGTTCTCGTGAAGTTACAGAGAAATCGTATTTGTCTCCCTTTTTTATAGATCCCGAAATAATACTCACTTAGCGAGGTCTCCAAGTGACCCTTTCGTCTATACAACAGCGGGAATGGGTATGACAACTGTTGGGCCAAGAATAACGAATAGAATGCAACTACAAACTATCATGAAGTCCTTCGCGAAGATTTTCTTTATAAGTTTGCCCACATTCATTTTTCTCGTTATCTCGGCATTTTTACCCACTATCGCACTCGGTGATCCCACTACAACCTTGACCATACCCGTAATGCAATGGATAAATCTTGGAGCGAATCTAAAGGGAAATGCGCCTGTGGGGTTGAAGGATTTCGGTATTGGTTATTCTAAAGACAAGAATATGTTGATTATTTTTGGCGGAACGTGAGTAATTCTGTTTTTAAGTCATCTGGTCATTCATGAGGCGTTCTTACCGCATTTAGGATAGACAATTGTCCCGCGCAAATTAGGACTAGATCATGAGTTGGAACGCTATATTATTTCCTTAAACAGAATTATGTTTTAATACATTTTATAGTACGGCGAGCGGTAATAAAAATGGTCAAACATATCTCGCTGATTTAAACAATCTTGTCTGGAGTTCACCATCGGATCCACATGGTCCACAAGCAAGATCAGATATGCTTTACGGAATGGACGTTTGGGGCTCGTATCGAAATACATTTGTGATCTCTTGTGGTAAAGGAGATGGGGATGTTATATTTAATGACACGTGGGCGTTTGATGTGAATTATGGAACCTGGACACAGATAAAAGATGTTACATCAATGAGTGGTCCTGTACCTCAGTTATATTCTGCAGTTGGTGGGATTGATACTACCACCCAGACAGGAAGCCAAGTGACTCCAAACAATACGATGTGGATGTCTCATGGAACCGATGGAACTAAATTTTACACTGATCTTTGGGCTCAGGTGTTTAGAGGAAGTTGGACACCTAATGAAATGAACTTATCTACTGTATGGTATAAAGTTCCGACTTCTGGTGAATTACCCCAAGGTAATGGATTATCTTTTTCGACGCTTGCGGCACTCGGAATTATTTGGATAATTAATGCTTGATATTCGTTTTTCGTAGGTCGAAAGGAACCTGGTGGTGCCATCCTTCCAGGAGGTCGATTGGCTATATACGGTGGGTGTAATGAATCTACGGCAGATTGTGCAATACCAGATGTATCCGCCCTGGTTTTGGGAAGCGATTACAACAAAGGTACTCCATTAAGCGTAACTAATGCATTTTGGAGTTCGAAGAGTCAGTGTTTAGGTGCGAGAGAAGATGCGGCAATGGTGATGAACGGTAATTCTGGTGTTCCAGCTTATACCACTCAAGTCATAGTTTTCGGTGGGAAATCATCTAAAAACTCACCTGTCGGCGATACTGGTGAAGTTGGTATTATGGATACTAGCTCGGTATGTACATGTAGGTGTCTTACTGTTAATTCGTTCGTGATAATAATATATAATAATATGTAATGGGCACAGGGCGTTTGGGCGAGAGTAATTCCACAGGGTGATTCCTTACCAAAGACTCGAGCGGGAGCTCGAATGGTTGCGACCGGCAACGTTGTTTATTCATCCTCTTCCAGTTCTGGCGTATCGGATATTTTAATGTTTGGTGGAGAAGCATTGGATGGTAGCTCTACAAATTTGAATGACCTATGGATTCTTCGCCTATCCAATACTCCTACTTCGTCTTCAAATGCAACTAAAATGAATTTCTTGGATTGTATCATAAGCCCCGACAAAGGAAATACACATGATAATACACCTTCCGGAAATGTTAATTTTAACAATGAAAATTTATCTAAATCTCACTATCTCCTCACTACATTGAGTTATATATTCTTATTTATTGCAACAACAGTTTTGAGATTTGGTTATGGTGTTGTTTCAATATGGAGAATTGGTAGTATTTATGGTGCATTAATAGTGGCCTCTTATGCTACTGCATTTTATGGATTTGCTGTAGCATTTGAAGATAAACATCAATCACATTTTTCGACTACTCACGGCATACTGGGATTATTATTTTTAGCGGTACTATATGTTCTTATCCCAATTTTGGCCATGATCTCATTGATCAACAAGAAGGACTCTGTGCCGCATACGCCGCCCGGAGAGTCGAATGATCACGAGGATGAAAGTAGTGGTGGTGGCATTGGTAGCAGGATTGCTACACTTTTCCACCTTAAAAGTCCAGAAAGTAGCAAGTCACCAAGATCATTTGAGGTCAATCGAAATGGGAATAGAGAAGATGATCCATCAATGCTTAAGCCAGCTGGAGATTCGTGGGTGGAAAAACGAAAAAGCGTCACAGAATCTGCGGTCTACAACACTTCATCGAGAGGTAGCATGTCAAATTCCAAACGTGTTTCTCAGAGTACGTTCGCGTCACATCACCGATTAGGATCAACCGGAACACAGTTAACAGTTTCAGGAATCAATAATAATTCCTTGGAAAATCCACATCAACAAAAGAACTCTCTAGCAACATTACTTACACACATCTATTACGTTATATTCAATATTATATTATTTTTGCTGGGGTTATACTTGGTTTATTTATTTAAAGAATATTCTGTTAGCAATTTATTCTTCTATTTACTTATAGCTTTTATGATTGTCATGTATGCCTCTTGGATTATATTTGCTTGTACAGGATACCCAAAGCGCAGAAACAGTCTATTGGTCAATTTAATGGCACATATTGCAGGCAGAGGAGGCAGGGTCGAGGATAATGAAAATCCCCATGGTGAATCAGAAAATGAAAATAGGGATAGCAGGATTATTGGTCGAAGTCCTGGAACAGGCACATCACATAGAGAGGTGATCGAGGAAGAAGAAATGGATGAAGAAACAAAACAGGCGGAACTGGAACAGGAAATTACTAATAGAGAAGTTATGGTTATGACAATACCGAAAAGGAGGTTGACCGTGGTCAACGCTTGAAGACAGACAGCCGTCATTTTCTTTAATATTTCGGTCTGTGAGTCCGCGCTGTGTAAGATAGTTTTTCTCAAGATAGAACTTTAAAAAAATTTTTGTTTATTACTATAGCATTGTGTCGAGCTTTCTTTCTATTCGACTTGTATTTCCTATAAATTTCTCATAACATTAGCTTTGGGTTTATAGCATCCGATTTCATTATACTCACACAATTTGTAACCATACAATAAAGTTATTAATAATGCTTCCATCATAATTGGAGAATTCAATCAGAGTATGCTTGTGCTATGAAAATAAAATTTAATATTATTTATTATAATATTATAAATATAATATTGATTAAATCAATTGGATATAAGTATATATACAGTATATATATTTCGAAAAAAAAAATCTTTTTTGCTTTATATAATTTAAAGAACTAAATATAAAGTTAAAATTTTTAAAAAATTTTTATTTTAAATGATCAAAAATATTATTTAAAATGTTAAAAATATAATTTAAAAAGTCAAAGATGAAAAATTTAAATTATTCTATTTAAAATTGAATTTTTTTAATTAAATTCAATTTGATTAATTTCATTTTTAATTATTTATAAAATCAAAATTTTTTATTAGATTTGATTTGTTTGATTTAATTTAATTTGATTTTATTAATAACTTATTTTAAAATTTTTAATTTATATTTTAATATAAAAATTTCTAATTATTTTTTTTAAAAATATATAAATATTGTTTTATTAGCTATAAAAATATACTGTATATAATTTGATATATACAAAATCTCTTTTACAATAATAAGCTTATACTAAAAAATATTTAATTTTAAGTAATATGACATGAGATTATCTTATTATTCAAGTAACAAAAGTTGTATCAAAGCAGATTTGAAAAATTTAAATTATATTAATTTTATTTTTTAATTAATAATATTTACAAATTAGATATTTTCAATTGTTAAAAATACACTTACAAAGATTTAAAATTATTTATTATTAGAAATGGCAAGAGCTTGTTTATATATGAAAAGTTGGATAACAAATGAATTAATAAAATAATATATTTTATATAGTATTTTGAAAAGTATTAAACTAATATTAAACTAATATTGAAATGGTATTAATCTATAATAAATTTAATATATATAGATTATAACTTATTCATATAAATTTATAATAAATTTAAGTATCAAATTGATATCAAAGTAGTATTGAAGTGATATTGTTAGAAATCTTAATTATATATTCTTTTTATTAATAAAATTAAGATTATTAAACTTGATTTATATTGATTATTAATTTAATAAAAAAATTTATAACAAATATATTATTTAATATAAGTTAAACTTAACTTATATTAATATAATTTATATAATAAATAAGAATATAGTTTTATTTATAAACAAAAATTAAATTTAACTTATGCTAAACTAATTTTCTCAATAAAGAAATCCTATTTATTATTATAAAAATTCTCTAATTATAAGCCAATGCCAGTACAGTTAACAATAAACTAGGTTAGTTTACAAATATCATGCTAGTGATTGGTGAATTTAATAAGATAATATATAAAGATCAGAGATTCTAGTTATCTCTGTAACACGAGCTAGTAACAATAATAAAAGTTTTTTGCTTACCCTTCTGACAATATAAGCTTATTGTACAAGATTAGGTATTAACACCTTTAAGAAAATCCAATTTCATTACATGTCCGATATTCTTTTCAATAATCTATTACTTTATGTCCAAATTTATTTTCTATATTGTCTAGTTTCATCTTATCCTAAAATCAAAATATACTCTTCAAAGCTATTCTGACAGTAAGATTAATTGCTACTTCTCAGTCTACAGTTCTAGTAATAGGTTTTAAAATAAAAGGTCTATACTAGATAAAAATAGTAAAAGATTAATGTTATTAAAGAGTTGCATTGGTGTTAAAGATAATTGTTACCCTTCAGTCTTTAGTCCTAGTAATAGATTCGAATGGAGAGTCAATACTAGGTGCAAATAATAAAAGATCTGCTTTATTTGATATATTTGAAGTTAGTATAGCTTGGAACCAACTCTTGCTCCACTTGTTGTATATCAAGCTATAGTTGAAAAACAAGTATACCAATTCTAGTTATGACTTGAAGACTAACCTGTATATAGTGGCTACAGTGCCTTCATGTAATTAGGTAACCAAATTCTTTAGATAGCTAAATGTCATTCAAGACATAATATAGGTTTTGAATTTTCTTTTTCTATATTCTTGAGTGGTACTAAAGAGTTCAGGCAGATGAATTACATTTGTGAGCCTTGCATTAAACTCTTTCTAGCAAAAAGAAATATATACTATGCCATAAAATTGTAAATCTTGTACTTGCAAGTCTAAAATTTATAATAAAAATAGTACATATGGTATACATGTGGCATAAATTATTTTGCTATTGACTCAATTCCCAAAATCTTCAAAAATAATTGTATCATAACTCAATTATTTATATGTTTTAATAGTAACTCAATT